CAGTTGCTTAAATTGGAAAATTTACTGCGATGATCACACTTCACTTTCATCTACTACCGCAGTTCAAATATGAATTATTTCATATATACTTCACAATATTTAGTAGGCCCTATAACATAAATGTACATCAAAAAACTCCAAAACATATTAAGCTTACATCTGGACAATAGTTAACAACTATTTGCCCTCAGGGGAGGGGGGCACTCTCTTATATGGGCTATATGGGTAAGCGCAGCCCTGAAGGGTATGGTTTTTCTGCTGTTTTGGTCATAAATAGGGTATCGATTTTGGCCATTTTGGTCATAACTAGGGTATGGTTCTTGCACTTAGGTCTTGATATGGGTATATTTTCAAGAAGAAGCTCCTTTTGCATCATTATCGAAAAGAAAATCAACAAAAGCCATTCATAAATTATGTTTACGGCAATTTAACATTGGTCTGGACTAGGGAACTGATTATAAGGCAGGTCTGAAACAGGGTTTTGAGTTAAGGGTCAGCTCATAAATAGGGTTTCAAATTTTTGGTCAGGTCAAAAATAGGGTAGGGAAAATCACAGATTTTGGTCATAAATAGGGCAAGGGTTTTGGAAAGCGAGCCACACACCCCCGCAAATTTTTCTGGGAGTACCCCCCTCCCCCAGGTATTCGCCAAAGGTTAAAAGAATCTTGGAGTCAGATTAACTTGCCACCTCCAAGCTAAAATTACATCCTTTTTATGCATGGAGGATTTCCACTGGGCATTTTTGAAAGATTGAATAGCAATTTTGCACTGGCAACAGAAGAACTTGTTCTCGTTTTGTCGAGCCATTTTGAGAAAATGAAATAGCCAATACTCATGAACAGACAAATATATTCATGTAGGCCCATTTTTCTTGCTCGTCTGAGAACAGCAGCTCAACAAAATGATACCTATACATTGAAAGTAACCAAGTCTTTAAACATTTTTCTATTGAAATAATGTATCCAAAAAACAAATAGATCTTCAATTCCAGTTACATTTTGTTGTTACTTATCATTTTGGCCTTCTGAGCTAAAGCTACGCGTGAGAATGTTCTTACATGCTCAGCAACAAAGCCTCTACCAGTCTTACACCTGTAATTTGCACGGATGCACCGTCTTTAACCTTGGCTTTTCTAATTCTAGGAAGACCAGCCCTGGCACATACTTGTAACCAGGCCTTCTCGTGTTTTTCTGGTTGTCATCAATAACAAAAACCTCATTGCGTGTCAAAAGAACATCATGGGAGACGGATTCCCCAAATAGGACGGTTGTGGCTCATCCCATCTGAACCCCCCTCTCTTTTTATGGTCAGTCATCACTCATTACTCTGAGAAAAGGGGCAATACAGAATATCAAAGGCTCCTGTAAGCCAGCTCATGGATGAACGTTTCTTTGTGCCTCAGTTTCAAAACAAATCTTCGTGTGAAACTGAGTTTGATTTGCATAAAAATGAACCTGTAGACGGAAGCCATATGAATTGTTTCCCACTGAGACTCGTTCTCACACAGAGGCAAGTGGCAACTCGGAAATGGCCTATTAGATGAATGGAGAAAAGGTAGTTGAATAAAAAGGGAAGAGAAAAACAGGAAAATAAAAAAAACATCTTTTGGTCAAATGTGATGCATAGGTTCTGATGTCCAAATATGGTTGCTTATTGAAACCCTTTATGTGGCTGAATTCGTTCTTTGGTAAAACCATTTCACAATAAATAATCATTTATTACATATTTGAAATAGAACAAAGACAAAAAATCAAGATGAACACCACTTTTAATAGGAACAGTTTCTTAAATTTCTTATTAAGTCCACTGAAATACTGACTACTATAATGAAGCACATAGAAGCTAAGAGGAGACATTGTAACCAACAGTCTCCTATACATGCAGATTATACATTTTGTGTTAAGTTATAAATAGCATAATCTTCACAGCAGCAGGACACACATGTAGTAGAAGTACAGCATGATAACAACCATTTTAAGAATTGCGTGAAAATTAAACAGGTATAAGCTGGAACAGTTAGGATAGCTTATACTTCAAATAAACATTCCAAGATTTGTATGTAATTAATGGAGACAGATTAACACAGTCTATTCTTGTGTTCCCTTAAGATGGGTTCTAATAGTTTCATTTAACTGTAGTCCCAATGTAAAGGACTGATGTTACTCTACATGTACATGCTCATGTATATGAACATGATATGGAGCTACTAATTTTAAGTTGAAGTTGTACTTCTGTATTCCACTGTAAAGTTACAGGTTGATTTCTGAGTTTTGTCAGACACATGTAGTGAGTTCAGGTGGATTTCATTTGTTGACATTCTTGACTTAAAGAAACCCACATGAGGTTCAAAAGTGTTACCAACTCTGTAATTACACATGCAGTTTTAAATATTTGCTTGTAACTGATGTCTTTCGCAAAGAATGAGTTCAAAAGCTCCAGTGGCAGCTGACACAAGTGTTGAAAGTATCTTATTCTCTTTGTAAGCAGGAGTATTTGACACGTATAGAATCAGTAATGGTGCTGTTAGTATTAACATCTGCTTACTTCTTACTGTCACTTGCATATTATATTGTAGTTGTTACTGCAGCATTCATCTGGGTTATTTGCATATGCACAATAGTACAACTTCACCTGCAATACGAAATAAAGATAACAGTTACATATTTTAAAAAGGTATAACTAGTTGTACCTATCGGTAAGTGCCAACGAGTGAATTGAGTTAGTAAACAGGAGTCGATTAAATTTTGTAATATTTATTTGGGATACTTCTAGTATAACAGGTGTTAAAATAAATTTCTTTTAGTTAATGTTTCAAATTATTGCTGTAATTGAAACAACATTGTTTATTTTTCAACTCAGTGAGTGAACAAACGCTAACCACTTAATTTTTTTGTATTTTTAACAATCCTGCGTGTGGGACCTCATTGGGCGATTATCTTGTCTACCATTCTGCTTTTTGAGGCGTATACATCTTGGATTTGTTGTGATTGAATCATACAATTGCTAAAGCTCAACAAGACCCGAGTTGTTTTCTGGAATGAATTCGAGTGTTGTTTACTTGATTCAGGGTAACGCTCAGGATTTGTTCGCCATCCGTTCAACGAATTATTTCGGTAAGTAGTTTGTCTGACATTCTGCTTTTTGAAGGAGAATGTAACTTGAATTTGTTGCAATTGAATCGCATAATTGGAAAACCTCATTCAGCGAAGGTGCTCTTTGAGAGTAAATTTCAATCAGTGTGTTGACAGCTCAAATCGAACCAACGAGTTCACTTCTGACGACCTCTGAGCAAAGTTCTTGCAATTAAAAGAAATTTCAAACCAAACATATACCATTAATCACTTAAAAACTTACCGTGAATCACCGAATTGATTGCAAATACTCCTTTAAAAACACATTCAAATTAAACAAATAACATTCACAATCTCCATCATATTACATGCAAGCTTGTTTTACACTGTTCTCTGCTCAACACTTTTGTCTCCATGAAAATGCGTTAAATCTAAGTTACATGCACCTCATTGATCCTTTACTAACTTATTTTACATTCACCTTCAAAAAGCAGACGCTGTGTCCCTACACGTATGTTCAGCAGCCGGAGAGGTTTTTCAAAGTAGTCCATGTCCGAATTCAGAAGGCTTCCGGCCGGTTGCCGTGGGTTGGTACATTTCGCTGACCCCTAGTCCACGGACTACCCCAATGGACCTGGTCCATGGACTACTTGAATGGACTACCCGTGGACTACCCTAAATGGACCATCCTGAAATCTGTGGTAAACATAAATTTAACGAAGCTAGAACCCGAACAAAAAATGCAATCGATCAACAAATACAATTACAGAACACTTCCTTTAACTATGAACAGATTTAATACCCAACTGGACCTTTGTCACAAAATATTACAACCGAAATCAAGGAAATGAGTTGCTTTTCTCGTTCCTTGTCATGGCGTAAAGAACTGGCTCGTAAGTCAGACATGAATGCAATTATATGTGCAAAATTTCCACTTACCATAGCTAGCATGCTTTCCATATTGTGAGTGACCGTAAGCGACTACTGCGCCTGCTAGCTACACTCTTTTGCAAGATGGCGGTGTATGGGGTTATGTGAATGTTGTGTCTTATCATGTAGGTAACAAAAGGAAATTTCGCTCGAATCCAATATTTTGTGGCAAAGGTCCAGGACCATCCAGATGTTAAGGTTGGAAAAGTTTGAGGATTAAATCGCAGCTGTTCTGATCGATCGCATCTCTTGTTCAAGATCGTTAAACCTGTTACATTGCAAGTGTTCTGTAATTGTGATTGTTGATCGATCGCATCTTTTGTTTGGGTTCTAGCATCATTAAATTTATGTTTGCCACATGTTTGCCACAAATTTTCAGGGTGGTCCATTTAGGATAGTCCATGGGTAGTCCATTCAAGTAGTCCACGGACCAGGTCCATCAGGGTAGTCCATGGACTAGGGGTCACCGAAATGTACCAACCCGGTTGCCGTGGCGCAGTGGTAATAGGTTTCGCTTGCCATGCCGGTGACCCGGGTTCGATTACTCTTGGGGTCGCCTGTCATAAAGTTCTTGTTATGTTGTTTTCCTTTTTTTAAAAAAAAAAAGTCTCACTGCCGGACGCAGAGTATTTTAACAAACCTGTCCGGCTGCCGGACATGTAGCCACAGCGAAAAGCAGAATGTCAGACAAACTACTTACCGCAAAAATTCGTCGAACAGATGGCAAACAGATCCTGAGCGTTACTCTGAATCAAATGAAATTGTTACTTTAGTTTTTGAACAATAGATGCCAATGTCAAATGACATGAATATTTGGAATTGGTTAGCTTAAAACCATAACTGTAATTTCCAAATTATTCAATTTGGAAATTACTGTCATGGAATTTTAGTACAAATTATTCAAATCATTCTTAATGTACACAGCTGTTCTATAGCAAGTTCTTACGTTAGACTAACTAAAGTCATTTCTGTTATGCATAAATTTACGAAGCTGATATGCATCATCTCTATCTGACAAGCAAAGTTTTGATTCAACAAAAATGTTGACATCAGTTTTTCAATCTATGGCTGAAGGGCCATGGATTCTATGTCATTGAGCGTGTCTGTTAACCAAAATCGTGTAACAAGAGAACATTCGTACTTAATCAAACTTCGGATGTGCGAGGATTGCTTCCCGATTTATTTCCGAATGACCCACTGTACGATTGAGAGGAACAAAACATGTGAAGATTAGTCACGATTGATTTTTCGGTAGACTTTTGGTTGGTCAAACCTGTCAATGTTCGTAAGAGCGAGTTGCTTGTCAAAATGGAGAAAAAAATGCGAATTTACTAGAAGAAGCACAGCATTACGGAGCGTTATCAATGACTACGATCTCTAACCGCTAACCGTACATAAAACATTGTAGACTCGTTTTCCCACGCTCTTTGAAGTGACGCGAATTGGTGAGTAGACAAAGTTTTCTATTTTTTCTGATATAACCAGGTACAGCTATCAGCGAATATGCCAAAACATTGTTCTCGAATGATCTTGCATGATTTTGGGTGGTTTCCAAAAGGTTTTGATTGGAAATACGATTGTTACGTGCCTTCAAAGCAGCTATCGAGCAAATAAAACGCACATTTGCAAATTGATGTTTATTTCATGTTTTCATACAACTCGGAACTCAACGTAATGTTTGTTATAAATATTTGTTTCAGCTACATGTACAGGCAGGATCGATTCTAAAACGCTCTGCTAACAAAAAGCTATCTGAACCAGGTTGATACAAAGATCGTTCACATAAATTCTTCACATGGAAATTCTGGATTCTTTAAAAGTCAAATACCGACAGATCAGGAAGGTTTGCTTTACATAATTATCTAAACAAGAGTAAGTTTCGTGTCATCTGTTCACCATTGTTAAAGCTTAACTGGATAATATTTCTACATTATCTCAAAGGGATGTCATTGGTTTTATGAAAAGCTTTTATGGAGCTAGAGTTATTGACGTCACCGTCTTTGGCTACATGGCACGCGAAAGTTTCCCGCGTCCGCTGGCGTTCCCGTCTTGGCCTTCCCGTCCTTGCATCGTATAAAGGTCCCTAATGTTGCTTGTGATGCCGAGGACATTAATGCCATGCACTCAAATTTTAAAGCAATATTGCTCAATGTAGAACAGAATCTGCAATCAGGCCGGTTACATCACTGGGCGACTCAAATGGAACAGAAATCAGGAATTCACTGTTCGCGGTAATTCATTCCTCTCAAGGAAACTCAAATCCCTTTCGAGGGATTATTCAACCCTTTCAAGGGATTATTCAGCCCTTTCGAGATATTTCAAGGGATGAACTATGGATTGACAAGCTTGCTCATGAAGAAGGGTCTTTTTTAGCTCAATTTTTTTAAAACAAAATTTAAACAAGAAAAGTGTTGGTCTTCTGGTTAGACCACAAAACAGTTGTTTTTGGACGTTTTCGGAAGGTGCGAAGTGCCATAAGTGCAATCCTCGTGTGTGAAGTGCGTGAGCCTCCCACGCCCATAGGGTGTGTGAGGCGAGAAAATGACTGTCGGCTTTTCATACAACGAATTCGCTCCAAGCGGGGGTCGTATAATGTCACTGAGGTGACAGAAATTGCTTGACAGCTCCACCCACAACTTATGGTATGAATGGCTAGCTCACTTAATACATTGCCATTAAATATTCCTTGAAATCTATGAATGAAGAGGTTTGTCGGGGTTTTCAACGGCCATTCGCATGCATGAATGACCCTGAGAGCAAGCAAATCTACACGCAAACAAATTATTTCTGCACGTGACTGAACAATACTTAATCCTATAAAACTTATAACTTATTACCTTACAAAATCATCAGGTTTATAAGACGTTAAGTCTCGTTCAGTCTGTAGCCCCAAGACAAATACGTGCAGAAATCATTTGTTTGCGTGTATATTTGCTTGCTCTCGGGGTCATTCATGCATGCCAGTGGCCGTTGAGAAGCCCGACCTGTCCATCTTCAGTTATAAATTTCAAGGAATATTGCCAATGTATTTAGTGAGCTAGCCGTTCATACTTAGAGTAAAATGATAATTTTTACGAGTGGACCACTGCTAAATCGCTCGCAAGTGTGGAGTCAACGTCTTCCATTTTCCCGCGAGAATTACTCTCTTTACAGTGAAACTGATACGGCATCTATATCTTTTTGATGAGGTGTGAGTGTCATTTGATGACAGGTTGCGTCAGAATTAAACCAATGGGAATTTCCCGTTGCTGGAAGAACAGGTGATTTTGAACGAATTTAACATATGCATGCCGGACAGTGGTATTTTTTAGCGTCTCTCCCCATTCTCCCTCACTATTTTTATATTCACTTCAGACCTTTCATTCGAATATTGACCGTCGCCCGCATACGCAAAAAATACGACTGTTTATTTTTTAGCGTCTCTCCCCAGTCTCCCTCGCTGTTTTTACATTCGCTTCAGACCTTTCGTTCGAATATTGACCGTCACCCACATTCGCAAAAAATACGACTGTTTGCAGTCTCTCTTCTGGTAGGAATTATAAATGTTATCCAGAATTTTTGTCCGAGTTCAGTTTGATAATAAGAACTACCTCTTGTCAGAAAAGAAGCTTTTGTTATCTGGAGACATTGAATTAAACTCAAGTCCTGCAGAGATTCCTAATCCACTTACCTACCACTGTGGATTCATGTGCTCATCAAGCACCCATTTTTGGAATGTTGTAATCACTTTGCACATCACCTATGTGGGGGAGGAGAGACCTAACACTCTGAAACAAGATTGTTTTTGTTTGGAGTGAATTGTCAGTCTGTAACACTGCTAAAGGCACAAGGCTTGCTTGTGTTCTTAGTCTGCTCATTTCACTTTTAACTTTCTCACTAACCTTTATATTGTTTTCATTCATAGTAAGAATATACATATGCAGTGCAGAGCTGTTCTTGTTCTTTTGCAGTTGTTCAGCATGTGGTAATTGACATTTGTTATTTGGTATAGATTATTTGACATTCATTTGGCATTAGTTTGATAAGTATTTGACAGTTCTCTCTCAATCTCGCTTTCCACAATTTTAGCATTTAAGTCCCAGCGAGAGGGGAACTCGATGTAAGCTTCTTCGAAGCTACATGAAGCTACACGTCTCCTGGCCTAGAGAATTACACGTACCCCGGCCAGTCGAGGGTTGCGATATTGCTTTTTACAATAACTGTCTAATTTCCCACGTGTTGATTGGCTCATTTTTATCATCAATAAGAGTACAGATGGGTAAAATTTTAATTTATGCAAACTTTCAAGGTACACTTTCAGCTGTGAAACTGTCAACTTTTTAACCAATGATATTTTATGGACTTTTTTAAGTAGCCAATCAAAATGCGAGAAAAGCTATTGACAATTTTCATGTCATTTTGAATAAAATTCAGTTATCTTTGTTTACAGCAAGTTTACAGCGTCTTTTCCTCTCATTTATCCCGGCATTTGGCCACTTTGCGGTCTTGTTATTGTAAAAAACAAATTGACATCAATTTTCTATGCGTCTGTCCTCTTATTGATTTTAAATTGCGTCATAACATTGTCAAAGTTATGCGGCTTGTGGTTCCACAGCCACTTTGACAATGCTATGACGCAATTTATCATCAATAAGAGGACAGACGCATAAAAAGCTGATTTCAATTTGTTAATATGTCTCCGAATATACGAAAGACTTGTTATCAGCATTTCCAGTACAAACTACATCCATAGCATCGATCGATAATATAAATCGCCGACAGAAAGAAGTCAACTCTACAAGGAAAACACCCAACAATGACACAAAATGGGGTGTCTGGAAAACCCGAATAGCGAATAGTCGCAAATAGCGAATAATGAATAGTTAAATTCCGAATAGCGAATAGCAAATAGTATGAATAGCACGAATAGCCTCGAATAGTGCAAATAGTAGCAAACAGTCACAAGTAGTGGCAAATAGAAGCAAATAAGGTACCCAGTATCTCACAGTCAACCTCGCAGTAACGTGGGATGGGATTTTCCTGCATAGACTCTAATCAGGACAAAAGGTGTTTCTAAACGTAATTTCTTCTGTTTTCACCGCTGCAAAAGTGTAAATATGTCTTCATTAGGTTATCCTTGTGTTTTCTGTTTTCTTTATGTCGGCGATGGACAGCCCTAGCCTGAGTCCTGAGAAGAAAAGGTAATAAATTCACTGAAATTCTGTCGCTTATTTGAATAATTAATTAATGCAAGATATAGCTTAGATGTTTTTGTTTTTATAGCCAGTTATCAGAGAAGCTCGTTTGTGTCTTTTCAGTTAATAAACTAATCACATTCAACTTACCTCACATTTGTATTTGTATTGTTTGTTTTTTTTTCACAGAACATGCTTGGTCGAATTTATCAGCGTCCGCAGATAAATGCTATTGCTCTAACTGGTCAATTTGAACAAATCCAGATCAGTGCTGGACTAAAGCAGTGACTATTGACAACTATTCGTCACTATTCGCGACTCTTCGCTACTGTTCGCCACTATTCGCACTATAGGCGAATCTTTGCTGACGTCATTGTTTACATTTTTCCTCATTAACATATGACTTTGCGCATAGAAGGCATCATGCTAGACACGATTTTACTAGAAAAACTTAAAGAGCTTGTGAAACTTAGTAAGTGGTGAAATTTTTGGCTCTCTGGGTGTAATATTCGAGGAGAAATTGGCTTTCAAAAACATCAAAATTTCTGTGTGGCAAAAGCGCTAATGAGCTCATACATTCTGTGTAAAATTTTGAGCTATTAAACCCTCGTCGCACAAAAAGTATTCAATACATCGCGCTCAAATTCCTTAGGACAGTAAATCGTGCTGTGCCCTTTCTATGGTCAGTATTAATCTCTTTGTAGCTCCATCAGAAACTGTATCGCTCATGGCAATGAGGCAAATATTGTAAACAAAGATTCTCCTATCCGAGACTAGTCGCACTATTCGTACTATTCGCTATTCATTATTCGCGACTATTCGCTATTCGCTATTCGGATTTTCCAGACACCCCACAAAATGGGACACAAAATGGCGAATGACAGCTCTCCGTATCCCCTGTCATATGACTATTTTCGGAATCGAGCAGTTTCCGAACGAAACAATCTAATTACTAGTACTCAAAAGTGTTCTTACAGTTATAGCTTTTAAAGAAAAAAAATGATACAACAAGGAGGCTTACCTTAGCTTCCAGATGACACGGAACTCATTTCATTCCTCCTCCGGGTGACATAAAAACATTTTTAAACGATTCCATCGATTCGTCCACGGACCACGGTCGATAGAGGTCGTAACTTTTAAGATTTCGATGCAAGTATTGTCGCTTTTAGGATTTCGATGTCGATTTGTCGCAGCTCATGTCCCTTAGCGTAATAACTTCCCATTTTTCAACCCGCGAAGGAATCCTTGTTTACAGATCGAACAAAAACCCATGACCTCCGTGCCACGTTGCAACTAGACGGCAAAACACTCGTTTTCGGACGTTTTCGGAAGGCGTTAAGCGCCGTAGGCGCGAGCCTCGCGTGTGAAGCGCGCGAGCCTCACACGCCCATATTTTTTAGCGTCTCTCCCCATTCTCCCTTGCCGTTTTTACACTCGCTCCGTACCTTTCGTTCGAATATTGACCGTCGCTCGCGTCCGCAAAAAATACGACTGTTTTGCAGTCTACGTTACGCCATGTTGTTGGACAAAAATTTACGCCCTTGTAGTACCCCCATAAAACTAGCCAAACATATGCACGGAAGTCTTTGGGACAAAAACAATACTTAGCAGGGGAGGTAGGAGAAAAAAAATGTTTAATCAGAATCGAGGGAGTGAGTGCCATTGGAGTGCCTTCTAAGCTCATGGAATGACTACGTCATCCATGAGCAAAAATGAAGCTATGGTATAAACACCCTTAAATTTGTGACACTCGTGAATTTTTAGCCAAATTATTTAAAGCTTACCGCTTCGGCAACAGGTTCCAGTATATCCCGCTCTACAATAACACCCTGTACTATGTGAACCAGTACTGCTTGTTTCATTGCATTTATCTCTATTACAGGGCTTTTCATCGCGTAACAGACCACAACTTCCGCAAGAGTTCTCTACGCTAAGTTTGTATCGCTTTCTCGAAATAATACCACTATTTCCGCAAGGATAAGAACAGCTGCTCCAGGATGACCATCTGCTGAGTACGCAATCTTGGGGTGTCTGACAGAGTTGTTGAGGCCCTGATGGTTGTCGTCTTCTTCTTCTTGACGAGAAAGCGCATGTTTCAGCAAAGAGCATGAAAATGCATAGCAAGGCAAAAATAGTCGTTATTTTTGTCATCCTTTTTGTGAAAAGTTTTAGAAGTTTCGCCGTCCTCGAGCGGAGAAGAACCCTTGAGACCTACAATCGATACTGCAGCTGTCTGATTGTCTAATACAGGCAAAAATGCGTAAAACAACTTAGCGAAAGAGGATCTTAAAAACTGCAGCACCTCCTGGAGTGGATTAAAATTAACAGTTACCCTCTTGACACCGTATAAGCCCATTTACCTGTTTACCGAAAACACGAACTAAATCAATTAGGTAGAGTATTGATTTCTACTCAAGTCGAAGAGCGCATATTATTACCAGCCTAATTTAGTAAAAGTGCCAACTGCGCCAGTGGATGGTTCACATTGAAACAAAATTAATACCTCAAACTGTAAAAAGACTGTTATTTTTGATCGTGTTTTTGTTTTAAAGCTTTTTCTACAATACCTCTTTTATACTAGAGCACACAATAGAAACGTCCACAAGGATAAAATTCAGCAGTATAGATTACGAGATTTACAACAGGCTGAAAATGTCTAGAAACGCGGACTGGGAGACGAGGGGTCTCCGGGATGCGGGAGGAAATTAAGAGACCTGTCTACAGTTTTTGGCACGCTGGGGGAAAACATGGCAAAAATAACAGTAAAAATTACCGTACGTTGAGAACTCTGGGACCAGCGATTGAGCGTTTTAAATTTTTTATTTCACAGCTGCACGGCGAAGTGTAGCTCACAGAAAAAAAGCGTGGAAAAATGAGAATCTTTATAACTGCGGCTTTCTTAGCGAGGCTATATCCCTGAAATTTGATAAGCAAGTTCCCTTATGTAGTGTCTTACGTAGTATCACAGATATTTCGGAATTCAAATTCCATACATTAATTTTACGGAAAGAGGTCAGTTTGTGAACGCTTGGCTGCTGCTATCATTCAATAAGAATTTTTAAAAGAGACCGGTTTCCATCGGCAATCATCAAAATAAGATTTTTTACCATATCCCATGAGTCGGGAGTTTGCAGTCTTCTGGAAGTTCCAGGTGTTTTGTACTCTTGAGCTGGTCCCACCGTGGGGCATTTGCAACATTTTTTCGAAAAATACCCGATAAATGCCCGGGGGTGGATGGGCGGGCTTAGAATCAAAATTCAGAGCCATAGTTAATTTGGCAGTTTGAATGCAACACAGATACAAAAACAATCAAAATTACCCTACTGCTCTGTCACAGGTGACTTTTTGTAGGCATAAGGTACAGGCCTGATACACCATCCTCATTCTCGAAATGATGATTTTGCACACGAGTGTGGGTTGACCCCATGACATCGTTGTAGCACAAAATGAGACGAAAACAAAGAACGCCGACGCCATTCTTATTCTTGAAATGATAATATTGCTAAGAAGTTTGGATTGTCTCCCTGACAGCGTAGTCGCACAAAATGAGACAAAAACAAAAAACTGCCCGCTATTTACATATAAATACCCTATCATAAGCTGATACAACACAGACGCGAATCCTGTACATGAGTTACTAAATGTAACTACATGTATGAAGGGATGCAGACCTAAGATCTTTGTAAACTCTGTAGGGAAATAAATGTATTTCGACTTAAAAAACAAACCCAAAGTTTGGCTGAATCCGGACGAATTTGTATCACTTTTAAGACTACTCCGTAAGATAGGCAAAGGGTCAAACTGGATTATCAAACTCAACATTAGTTCAGGAAAAGATTAAATTTTCATACCGGCCCAAACATATTCCGTCGACCAGTTCCGTATCACGCACGGAAAGAAACACTGAGGTATCAGTGAAAATACCTGGTAGTTGGTAATTATTAAATGTATAAAGTTGTTAAGAGGGTGTCACCGGCACAAAGTTAACCAGAAACAAAACAAAATGATTTCATAATCGACAGCGAGTAGATTGTAGGCTTTTTCTGTCTGCATTGAACAATTGTCCTTTCAAAGATTTACG